GATTTCTCCTGTAATGAATAAGAAATGACCGTCTTCATCTTTTTTGATTAATTTTGGTTTGAAGTTTAACTTGTTAGATATTAGGATAGCCACACCTGCTTGCTTCTTGGGTCCATTTGATTGGAAGTTCTTTTCCCAACCCTTTACCCTGAGGCAATGTCTATCTTTATAGCTTAGATGTGTTTCTTGTATGCAGTAGAAAGATGGATTCTGTCTTTGTATCCATTCTGTTAGTCTGTGTCTTTTTATAGGCAAGTTAAGACTATTAATGTTGAGGGAAAGTAAGGATCATTGATTGTTAATGCTTGTATATTTTAGATTTGTTTTTGGTGGTGGTATTGTGAATATATTTGCTCTTCTTTACTCTTGGGTTTTGGTGAAGTGGGTTATCTATTGACTATGTCTTGGTGAGTATAGTTAACTTTCTTGGGTTGTAGTTTTCCTTCCAGAACTTTCTGTACATCTGGATTTGTAGTTACATATTGTGAAAATATGGCTTTGTCATTAAATATATTGTTTTCTGCATCTATAGTGATTGAGAGTTTTGCTGGGTATAGTATCATGGGCTGGCATCCATGGACTCATAGTACTTGTAGAACATCTATCCAGGACCTTCTGGCCTTGAGAGTTTCCATGGAGATGTCAGGTGTAATTTTGATAGGTCTACCTTTATATGTTACCTGGCCTTTTTCCTTTGCTTCTCTTAATACTTTCTTTATTCTGTATGTCAGATGTTTTGATTATTATGTGTCGAGAGGTCTTTTCCTTTGGTCCAGTCTATTTGGTGTTTTGTATGCTTCTTGTACTTTCATGGGCATGTCCTTCAGATTGGGGAAGGAAGTTTTCTTCAATTATTTTGTTGAATATTTTTTCTGCACCTTTGAGGTGGGCTTCTTTGCCTTCTTCTATGCCTATTATTCTTAGGTTTGGCCTTTTCACGGTGTCCCACATTTCCTGGATGTTTTGTGTTAAGGCTTTGTTGGATTTAAGATTTTCTTTGGTCGATGAGTCTATTTCCTCTAGTTTATTTACAGCACCTGAGATTCTCTCTTCCATCTCTTGTATTCTTCAACAGAGGAATATAAAGTGACCTAAAGGCACTTAAAATGACCAACATCCATAATCATCAGACAATGCAATACTAAACTATGCTAAGATACCATATTATACCTGTCAGAATTGCCAAGATCAAAACCACAGATGACAGCTTATGTTAGAGAGAATGTGAAAAAGGGGAAACACTATGACATTGCTGGTGGAAGTCAACCTTGTACAACTACTTTGGCAATCAGTATGCCTCTTTCTCAAAAAATTTGGAATCGGTTTATCTCAAGACCCAGCAATACTAATTTTTGTCATATACCTAAAGGATGCACACTCATACCACTAGGACATTTGTTCAACTATGTTTGTAGCAGCATTATTTTTAATAGCCAGAAACTGGAAACAACCTAGATGCCTCTCAAATGAAGAATGGATAAGAAAATGGTGATACAGATATACAATGGAGTACTACTCAACAGGAAAAAAAAAGCCATCATGAAATTTGCAGGCAAATGGATGGAACTAGAGAGGGTCATCCTGAGTGAAGGAACCCAGACCCTGAAAGACAAATAAAATATGCACTCACTCATAAGTGGATATTAGACATAAAGCAAAGGGCAGCCAGCTTACAGGTTATAATCCTAGAGAACCTAGGTAACAAAGAGGACCCTATGAGAGACATGCATGGATCCACCTAGGAAGGGGGAAAAGACAAGATTTCCTGAGTAAATTGAGAGTGTGGTTGTCAGGGGGTGGAATGGAAGAGGGAGGAGAGAAGGAGAGTTTGGAAAAGTGTCGCTTAATAAAAAAAAAAAAATAGCCATGTTTTACAGTACTAATATTTTGACATATCTTTTTACTACTTTATAACAAAACAAATGTTTGCTTTATTTCAGGTTGTCTCTTCGCTGTCTTTCCAGAATTCTGTACCACTACTCTCCTGAGTTACCATTTCTGTATAAAAATAAATAAACAGTGTCTGTGAGAGCAGAGTCCCAGGCCTTTCAGCCTCGCCACAGACATGGCCAGCAGTAACTGGAGCCGCGGTCCAGGGCACAAACCCTTTCCTCACCTGGACAAGAGTGAGGAAGCAAGCATATGTCTCTTCTGTCAAGTTGTGTTGTTTCCTTCCATCAACAAAGGGCTCTATGCTTGCCTAGGAATCTCCGTCTCATCTCAGCACATCTGGGTCCTGTATGGCTGGCTACCCTTATTCTTCCTTGAGGAGAGAAAAGAGGACATAGAGGAATCCTTTCAAAGAACATCTTAACATTAACTCAGAAATGAGTTGTGATTGCAGAGGGCTGTGTAGAAAATGTTTAAAAACACTTTGACTCAGATCATAACTCACTTTGCCTATTCATGCCTTTGATCTTAATCATTTTATATTTCTTCCCTGCTTGTCTTTTTTTGTTGTTGTTTTTAGACATTTTATTTAGCTACTTTCTCCTTATGCAACTTATTATATCCAAGATTTATCATTCCTTTAACTCTTTTTAAAACAAATTTTTAGATTTATTTTTAATTTATTTGTATGACTTTTTGCCTCACTGAATGTATGTGTTCAGTATGTAAGTGAGAACTACGTGTGTCCAGTGCATGTGAATGCCAGAAGAGGACATCGAATTTCCTGGTGCTATTGCTACAAGCAGTGTGAGCTGCCATGTCTGTGCTGAAAACCAAACCCCAGCCATCTGCTGTCTTTCCCACAACCCTCTGCCACCTTATTCCGTTTTTAAGTTGTACAGGGAGCTTGTTAAAGAACAGACCTAATGGGGAGATGTTTGACTTCTAATCTGCCATCTCTAGTTTATGAAGAAATATGCAGGAAACGGGTGGAGAGCGGATCGGGAGGGATGACTGCATAGTGGTGCTGTGCCTGTTCTCGAGTGCTCCGTGGGTGCCGACGTGAACCACTCTCTGTCTCTCCCCAGACCGCCAACCCACAACATCATGGTGAATGGGAAAGAATGTGTAAACTTTGCCTCCTTTAATTTTCTTGGGTTGCTGGCCAACACTCAAGTGAAGGTGAGTAGCACATAATACTGGAGTGTAACACGACAACAGAAATGATATGAGACAGGCGTGGTCATCGAGGAGGATATTATTTCATACTACTGCATCTGACAGAATCAAAATCTGGACTTGGAGCATGCAGGGCAGAGTGCCTGGTGGCTCCGTGTTCCTGGCAGACAGAGAAGCCGGGAAGCCAGGCCTGGGTAGTAGAGAGAGCATCCGAGGGGTTGCCCAGCTCCTGTTCGGAATGGAGCTTGCAAACATCCTCAGGGAGACCTAGTGGTCACTGGGCTTTTAGAAGCAGAGAATGGCACTTCTCCATTGCTTCAGTCTTGTGTGTCATTTACGAATCTGTGTTTTCTGAACCCTGTTAGAGTTGCTGTAGTTACAAGAAAGGGAAAGCGGGAGTGAGGAAGAGGAGCCCTATGGGGGTTGTCTTTCTGTATATATGTTTCTCTTATTGGTTAATGACTAAAACGCTGTTCAGTCAATGAGACAGGAAGATAGACAGGTCTCGGAGACAAGGAGAAATCTGGGAAATGTAGGCAGAGTTGGCCCACCACACTGAGTTGCCAGCCTGCCCAAGTAGTAACATGTCAGGATATTTCTGGGTAAGCCACAGCCATGGAACAATACATAGCTTGATAGAAATATGTTACAATTAAGACATCACTTGCCAAGAAGCCCTAGTCATCAACCAACAGGTTAATAATTAATATAGCATCTCTGTGTTTATTTGGGGCTATGGCTGCCAGGCCAAGCTGGAACAGAAAACTTTCAGTGACAGTTTCTTGCATGACAGAAGAGAGCATCTGATCCTATTACAGATGCTTGTGAGCCACCAAGTGGGTGCTGGGAATTGAACTAATTACCTCTAGAAGAGCAGTCAGTGCTCTTAACCGCTCAGCCATCTCTCCAGCCTGACACATTTCTTTTAATCCCAGTATATGGGAAGCAGAAGCAGGTGGATGTGAGTGAATTTGGTCTATATAAGGACTCCAGGGCAGCCATGGTCACACAGTGAGACCGTCACACACACACACACACACACACACACACACCAAAAAAGTTGTTAAATTTTCATGAGGTATAGTTTGTCTGCTTTGTTGATCATCGTTTTTGTTATTGCCTTGCTTTGTTTTGTTGGTGTCATTTCTACACTGGTTTTGTAATCAACAACCGCATAAAATTTCTTTGTTCCCTTCTGAACATTGGTGTCTCTTCAGGTAGCTCAAAGTGTTTACAGACACATAAAGCCTTTATCTCTTAAGAAAGCATTTTGAGCTTGTTCTGTTGTCCCTCAGCTGTCCTCATGTCTTCCCTGCTGTTCAGATGCCTGTGAGAATGCAGTGTCTACCAGATGTCTCTCTAGAAAATGAAGGTTTCTTTGTTTCTCCTTAGGGGCTTTCTGGCCAAGGATACTGTTTTTCAGCTTCCTTACCTCTCCTACTAGCTGCCACTGCCATCAAGGTTCTCCACATCATGGAGGAAAATCCAGGTATAGCCTTGTAACAGCTGGTTCTATTAACTGTTGTACCAACTTGCTTTCTAGAAGAATTAGCTTAAGTGAATTATTCATTAGACTGAATTCCTTTAGAAATCAAGAGTCCTTGATACAAAACCAATATCCAAACTTGCTGAGGACATCAAACTTTTTCGGGGCAGGCATTTTTGCAGTTTTAAAGAAAAAATGCCAACACATCCATAAATCTCTACAAGGGTAAGTATTGTGGTTTGCAGTCAGAATAACATGGGTCTACACCACACTTAGCAGCACTGCAGTTAGGATTCTTATGGCTCTGGGTCCTTTGCCTACACAGCAGCCACAAAAACAAAGCCTCAGTTCATGCAGTTTCCAATACAAGTGGACCAGCCATTTGCCGCTGTCATAAAGACAAGGCCTTGTTCTAGAAGGTGCATGATGTATAGTGTGCACTGTGCTAAAGAGAAGGAAAATCAGCAACAGATCCCCAGGGATGACCCAGGTACACGTGGTTGATGTCATCAACACCGAGGGCAGCAGTGTATGCTGTGTACTGGGCAGTCCAGGCCACTCCTAGCAAAGTGAAGTTGGTCATGAGTGTTCTTTTTCTAAAAAAAAGAAAAAAAATCTTCAGGCTGACTTTTGGTTCCATGGGAAATAATCTCACATTGTTCTAGATCTTTCCTTTTGCTCCCTAAGGAGATGTGTGTCTCCTACGTTGTGAAAGTTCTGTCTCCTTTGTGAGATTGGGGATAGACACTGTACTGAAAGAGAAGACAGGTAATGAGTGGCCTCAGCTGTTGGGTAGGACGGACAGACTGGTGCTCCGTGTGTCTGTTGTCTCTTGCATGATTTACGGTGGCAGGGACACTGCTATTGCTGTGTCCTATTAATTCTCTGGCACAACACAGCACGTTGGAGAACTGCACATCCCCTAGCACCAGTCTAGGTGCCCTGTGCTCCAGCTTTTCCAAGTCCTGTCTTACATCCTCAGGCTCTGTCCAGCCATCTTTGGCTGCTCCTGCCTTCTGTCTCTATCCACCCACTCTAGTGGATAGCCTGGCTTCATGCTGTCACTCAGAAACTCACTGCATAGTCATGGACAACTGTCAGTGTTCCTCTGTTACAAAGAAATTGGTGTGTATGTGCATGTGTCTGTAGCATGTATGTCTATGTGTCTGTGTGTCTATCTGGGTATCTATGTGTGTATACATGTATGTTTTTATATAGGGATGATGACTGCCTCTTGCTGTTGAGTGTCAATCCAGCTTGTAAAACATGTGAGGGTTTTTGTGATATAAGAATCCAAATGCTGCTCAGGCCACAGCAACCACAGAGCCCTTCCCCTCTCCCAGGTAGTGAGAAGCACTCTGTCTATAGTCTGTGAACATCCAGCTAACAGAGTCCATGTGCCAGGGTTACTCAGATGAACAGTGAGTTTATAGCACAGGGCTATTGATGGGCACACATCATGCTCTGTGCGCCTTTCCCATCCTCCTGCCTGAGAATGAGCCTGGCTGTGAGCTTGGATTGTGACCCCTCTATCATAGTCAAAAAAAGAATAAGAGACCTCCCTATGCCTGCATAGAAACCTGCTCCTCAGTGCCCTCCCACACCACCATTATGGCATGTCTGGTGCGGACCCTTCACTCTCCTCAGAGCCTCTATCAGGCTATTGTCCATCTGCCTATCCATGGCATGACTCACTATAAAATCCAGACCCAAACAATGCATCCCACTGTCCCTCTTGAGTCCTCATCTGAGACCTTTCATGTGGTGCTGATGAGGTCCTGCTGACATCTCCCTGCTATCTGACCTGGTGACTGAGTGTGTGAGTTTTGTGATAGTCTTTCCATGGTAAATCTGTTCTTTGTGGAACTCCAAAGGATGAGGTGGGGTCCCTGGGAGTTGACATTGTCTCCCTGTGACGTGAGAGGTCTTTGGGTGGGGGAGGTTTGTATATTCTGCGGGTGCTATGTGAGGTCTGGATATCAGTGTGAGGCACTGCTCTGTGGCATCCTGAGGCCACCAAGTGACATCGCTATCTTAGGGCTGTGAGAAGTTTCTGAGGGCTCCCTTACGTCTCTATCAAAAATCTCCTTGAAATCTCTGTGTGGACTCTGAAGTTTGTTACTTGTGCCTGTTGTAAGATCTGTGCATATTCAAGTCTCTTTAGGGGTCTTTGTCAGAGCTTCAGTGTAGATCTCTCTGGTTTCTGTGAGAGTGTGTCTGAAAGTCTGTGGGTGATCTCTCTCTGTGAGGGTCTTCGTATATGTAGAGGAGTGTGTGTGTGGGTGTCTGTGTGCATGCCTGTGGAGTTCTGGGTGCATTTCTGGGGATCTGTATGTAGATGCCAGTGTCCCCTGATTTGAACTTTAGGATGCCACACAACTGTCATTATTTATTTATTGTACCTGCTTCATGACCTGTGAAGACCGTGGCTGGTACTCCAGTGCCTCTGTACACAGCTACACAAATGTCAGGTGACAGAAAATGAGAAGACAGACAAGGTGATCTGGCCCTTGCTGAAGGGTTTCATGTGGTTGACTTAGCACCCCCTAATCCTACAGACTTCCTGTTTGTGTTTGTCAAGGTTGACTTAGCACCCCCAATCCTAAAGTCTTTCTCTTTGTGTCTTGTAGGGTTGAGTTAGCACACCCCACCACTACCCCAAAAGATCATAAAGGATTCGGTTTCCATAATTACAGTATAATTAATAGTAACTACAAGGATGGACCTAGGAGATGGTGAGACATCTAATGTCTAATGTCCCCTGTTTGTGGAGCCATAATTTCACAAGCAGTACTAATGTTTACCAGACAGCCATTTCTCTGTGGCCCAGCACTACAGACACAAACTCCAGATAAAACATACACAGAGAAAGTAATGTCTAAAAGTTTAATTACTTTGGATACGGGAAAGCACTTGCTCTTCCGGAGTTTTTACTCCTACAGGGGCAGTGCCTAGGACAGTGGATTGGTCTACTTGGAACAAGAAGTGTCTGTGCCCTGTGCTGATATTGGCTGGCTCTGGACACCTGGGTCTGGTTGTTAGTGTAGCACATCCATTTGTTAGGGCTGTGTCCCTTGAGGTTGGCTTGAACACAGCCAGTGTTACCCTGTGCTGTTTTTGGCTGTGCAGTGGGAATTCTGTCACAGCAGACCTGCCTCCTCACTGGAGTATGGGGTGGGTTTGGATGCTCATTCTTCTGTGAGGAAGCATGAACATGGCGAGTCCCCAATTTCCCTGCCAGAACTCTTTTAGCAGGGGTCATGAGTTCTTGAGCTTCAGTGACCTGTTGGGCCCTGAAAAATCTGTTCAAGCCTGACGCTCGGCTTTGGCAGGTGCCTGAGAAGGCCTTGACTTTTTGCAGTAAGTCCCCCTGTCCTTTGTCTTTGGTTGTCCAAATTGAAACAATGGCATTTTTTATCTTGTCCCCAACCTTCTTTTCATGGTTATCTGGCCCATATGATTGGACTGGCCTTGTCCCTGAAAGCTGTACTTTCTGCTGGGGACTTCCATAGTTCTTTTTGTCATTTGGACCAAAGATATGGCTAGTCCACGGTTCCTTAGGTTTGGAGATCTTGGTGAGATTTTCTCTGCAGGAAAAAGGGTTCCTGTCCTGGGAGGTTGATTTGCTTGGAGGGGGCATAGTCTTGAAGCAGGACTGAGAGGCCCTCGAGGCCAATATATCTGCAGCAAGCAGAACCTCAGGAGCACAGTCTTGAAGAAATGTTCCAGTGGCACAATCCTGCAGGACAACACCAGGGGCCAGGCAGTGAGGTGTTCTCAAGCCAGAGTCTTCTGGACCCTGAGCAATGGGTCTGGAATGGGATGGACTCTCACTGGTGTCCAGAGAGTCACTGTTGATTGGAGACTTTGTCATCTCCCCAGTGTCTGTGTTATATGCCCAGTCAGAGGATTCTTCCTCTTCTGTCTCTTCCAGATGCCCGGTCTCCCTGATACTTGTTGACTGGGATGCCACACTGAACTCCCGAACTAATACCTCTTCGTGCATTTCTCTAAATGTCACACCCTTACTCTTCTGTGGTTCATAACCACCCTTGACTGGGCCTGGAATTGGCTCTAGGTTGTGTGTCCAAGGTCTAAGGACTTTATCACGGTGCCAGGCTCTGCCCACGAGACTATAATGGGTAGAAACGGAGGTCAAGTCATCCTCCAGGACTTTTTTAGTGGCCTCAGAGGGTCCAGAGTTGTTACAAGATGGAGGCTCTTTTAGAAATTGCACCTGGAGAGCAGGAGGAGGCTTCGGTGTGGAAGAAGATTGCACAGTGCTGGTGTTTTCCATCACTTTCTTCTCTGGGTCTTTCTGAAAAGGTTCTGCCAGGACACTGGCCTTTATGTCAGTACACATTTCCCTAGAGCGCCAGGAGGACAAAGAGGAATTGGAGGGTGAAGGTGTAGCTTTGTTCTCATTGAACATATGTATGGTCTTGAGGCCTCTGAGGGGCAGGCCCCATCTGTGCCTTGCCAGGCGTCTTGTAAGGTGTGTTTCCAGCACCTTTTGAGTGTTGGCGTCTAGGAAGAAAGCCTCAGAGGTTTTATTGCAGATGGTCACATCAATCATAGATGATTTTTTCCACGTGTTCATATTTGTGTTTGAGTTGTCATGAGGGACCACAGCATGGTCAACACTTACTCCTTGATAAATGTCCACGGGCAGCTTACTTTCTTTGGTACATCTCCATTTGCTGCTTGAGTAGCTTTTCAGTGTTTCTTCTAGCTGCCTTTTTCCTGGATCTATCGGGGAAACAGTTTGTGAATCTCTTCTTGGGGATCTCATGTGGTAAGTTTCCTCCTGTTTGCCTCGGTGACCTTCTGGTCTCCAGTAATGATCTCTCTCAGCTCTTCCCAGGCATTTTGTCACATCCTTGCCTGGACCTCTCCAAGACTGGAATATCTCTGTACCCTCTGATGGAACACTTGAGGGATGCTGGATGCTTTCATTTCCCAGTGATGAGGGACTTGAAGGTCCACGATTAACTTTTGCCTCACTCATCCTTGCCAGTTTGTCCTGTGACTTCATCAGGTCCAGAGATAGCTGGACCTTTTGAGGCCATTGTCCCTGGTGTTGTATGAAGCTCCTTTTTAAATGCTCTTCCAGCTGCTCCCGGAGCTTGGGGTTAATGAATTCCCCCGGGAGGTGGACCACAGACTCATGACCCTTGGCCATCCAACTGTTTGAAGTGCGTGGATTACATGCTTCCTGGGACTTTTTCACCATGGCTGGTAATTCGCTTCTACTTTCCTGTTGCTTCTTTAAAAGGTGGAGCTCTAGGTATTGAACAGCAGGTGGGACAGTAAATTGAGACGTTGATGATGTAGTACAAGTCCCATAATCCATGATTAGAGGTGAATGGCTTGGTGGCTTTGGGAGGGAGGATGGGTCACGGGCCTGGGTTTGAATTTCAGGCAGGACTAGAGCTTGAGGCGAGGTTAACTTCTGAATCAAAGTTTTGGGTTTGACTGAATGATGAAGCAAGGGCTCTGGGGAGAACATCTGTGTAGGTACCTTAGAATGACTGTGTATTGGGATGTATGTAGATAGTACATTGAATAAGATGGAGGGGACATCCTGCAATGACTCTGGCATATAGACGGCAGCCACAAGGGACTCACTGTGGAGAAAGGGGAGGCCCCAGAAAAGCTGGCTGTATTTCATGGGTAAATGATCACCCAAGGCCTTCTGGCAGAATGAGTGCTGGTGACCTTCAAACTTCTCTGATTTTTCGTTTCTGCTCCAAAACGGCTGTGAGGTGGTATGCCTGCTGATCCAAGACTCCAGGATACTTTCCATGGGGCCCAAAGTATGGCCAAATTTTTCTTTCCCATTGTTAACTTCGAGCTCGGCTCTCTTTTTATTCTGAAGTTCTAGCTCAGGGTTGATAAAAAAGGGCTCGCCAGCCTCTATCTGCCTGGATGTGGGGCCTGTGCAGAAGGAGGCCTCTTCATGGCTGAAAGAAAGATGGTCTTGCATGGAATCTCCATAAGATGAGTTGGAGTGGCACCAGGCTTTAGCAGCTACCTGGAACCAGGAAGGGCTTGAGATAGGCCTGCTGGTTTGGTCAAAGCCTTGTGTGGTTTGTGTAGGCCTGCTTGAGTTGGCAAGGTCTGACTTGGTTTTGGTAGGCCTTCCAGAATATTCAAGATCTGGGTTTGTTGAGATAGACCAGCTTTGTTGTTCAAGGCCTGGGTTTGTTGAGGTAGGCCTGCATGAGTTGTTTAGGCTTGGGGTAGTTGAGGTAGGCCTGCTACAGTCATTAGATCCTGGAATGGGTGAGTTTGGCACGTGTGACTGGTCAAGGCCTAGGGGTGTTGGGGTGGGAGAAGGCAAATCTGGCAAAGGTATGCTCTGTGAGTTCCACTGCGCTTTCCCCTCACACTGAGGGGACATTGTGCTGGCATCTGGAGTGCATGGAGGACGGGCCACAGGGTCAGGAGGATGAGATGGGAGGGAAGGCAACCCTGGTGGGGGTGGTGGTGAATGGTGTCTCCCAGGAGTCAAGGTCTCTGGTGCTTGAGAGTCACTCATGGACAACTGTGACTCAGTAGAAGCTGAGGAATCCAGCAGGACAGGTGACAAGATTTTAGAATTTTGGGGCATCAGGTGTTCCTGGAGTGGAGCCGAGGAAGCCACTAGGGGCTTGGTGGCCACAGACTCCTCTGTGGGCTGCCCAGGTGGCAGGTGGGCTTTGGCAGCTTCTGGGTTGGACTCTTCACCTGAAGCATTTTGTCTTAAGAGCCTGCAAAAGCTGATGGTATTGACAAGCCTCTGTAGTATGCTGTGGGAGACAGGAGATATCATTGCAGCCAGGAAACATGGGGCCAGGAGGCTGGGCAGTCTGAGTAGGGAAGAACCCTCACAGACCATCACAACCAATGTCCTACACTCTTCTTTTTACAAAGCCCTTTTGTCTTCAACTCCAGCACTGTACTCATGTCCCACTCACCCCGAGGGCCCCTATCCCCTTGGTAACCTTATGCCCTGGTCTGGGTGATCACAGACCTGGCAAGGAGTGAGGACCAGAGGGAATGGAGATGGCTCACCTGTGCAGAAGGGAAATCAGTACCTTGTCCTCCTTCGGTTTCTTCCTGCAGCCTCTGTAAGCTGGAAATGGAGACTGGGTTATGGTGGGGTAAGGCGGGACCTGGTATCTTACCACAGACTGAATGAAATGTTCCTTCAGTAGAAATGAAAAGTTAAACGGGAGCTCAGGCTCTGAGCAATCCCGCATGAACAAATGCACCGAGAGCAAGGCACAAGTGTGGCAGGACCAGGTGCTTCCACTTCTAAGAAACTCCATGGCTTCTTGATCTCCGTGTGGAGGGGAGGGGGGGCAGTGTCCTGAAAGAGGAAAATGTCTCAGAAGTTTATCAACCCATTTGTCTCCAGATCTAGGCAAAATGGTACCACTTCCTCTCACACCATCGCTCCCAGGGTACACCCAGTCCTGGCTGCCCCATAGCTTCATTCTGAGCCCAGAACCTGGGAAGTGTCTTCAGTACTTGGTTCCTTCGAAGGAGAAGCATCCTTGCGGGTTCTGTAACTCATTTGGAGTCATTACTGAGGGCGGGGTTGGCTGGTGAGGAAGTCACCTGGAAGGGGAAGGAAGTAGCCTACCTCTCACAGTCCTGGTTTTCTTCCTGACCTTGATGCGTTCTCTCTTCACCACCTGACAGAGACAGACAGCACCTGTAACCCCATTCACTGATCCACAATATGGGCAAACAGGAATTCGAACTGTCTCTGTGACAGTCACCATGGATGTCACTGGTCACTGTTGTGCTCAGGAAGCAGATGCTCAGCTCTGAACTACCAACAGTTGTTCTTGACACCAGAGGCCCCTTGTGTCCTGCATCATGGCCACCTCACATCAGCTCCACTGACTCTGCAAGCATGTTTGACGTGGGGGACATAGGAACCCATGCTCAGAACCTTACCTTTCTCAGAGGTCCGCAACTGTCCCCGACCACATAGTCCCAGGGCTTCTCCCAGGGATGCATGGTCAGGGGCTTATAGCCCACTCCCCCCTCTGCCCTACCTGCCAGATCTGGGGTCCTGCTCTTGTCTGAGCATCTCTGTCAGCCACCTCCCTATTTGATTTGGAAAGTGGAGCCTATAAAAGGAGAGAGGGAACTATTGTGTTGGCTTGGAGCTAAGGCATTCTTACCTTTTGGGTGGTGGTGTTTTCTGCTGGTGGAGGTGAGGGTGAGTTAAAGGGGACAAGGAGTAGTAAGAGGTGGAAGAGCCCCAGCCCACACAAGAAGGCAAAGATTATGTCCATTGCCCAAGTGGTGAAGCTGGGATCAGCCATGAAGAATCGATGTTTTCCAGAGCAGAGAGAAAATCCTCCATCTGAATTGCACTGTTGCTCTCAGGCAACTGAACTCTGAGAGTTCTCTCTGGGAGAGGGCAGCTGAGCCCAGACCTGCATCACAGAGCTCCTATCTCCTGTCACAAAGGGCTCCTAAGTGTGGGGGAGGGGTTGTAGTAAGAGGTGACAAAACAATCCCTCCCCATCCTCCAGCCTTCCCAGGGTCTCCATCCTCCACAGCCTTTTGTGTCTCTGTTTCTAACCCCCCCCCCTGCACACTCCATCAGAGCTAGTGTTGTCTCTTTCCTGTGCTTGTTCTACTGCAGAGAGCCTTGTCCATGTCCAGTGGGCGTTTGAGTCCCCAAGTCCCCAGTGATGTTCCTCCTCCGAAAGTCCTTCCCTTCTGATGCTTCTAAACAGTTCCACCTACTGGAGACCAGGGACTCCTATGATTTTATGGGGCTTTATTCAAACACCCTGTTCCATTCTCTGGCCCTCTGTAGTCTTGCAGCAGTACCATAAAGCAAGATTCACTTAGACTTCAAAAGCCCCCATAGTCTCTCACAGTGTCAACACTATTTCAAAGGCCAAAATCTCTCTTCCTCTCTGTCTCCCTCTCTCCCGGTCTCTCTCTCTCTCTCTCTCTCTCTCTCTCTCTCTCTCTCTCTCTCCCTCTCTCTCTCTCTCCCTCTCTAAAGCAGCCTTTTTTTTCTTTTTAGAAACAATCTTATTTTATATATCAATTCCATTTCTCTCTTCATCCTCCCATGCCCCCCCCATATATCCTCCATCACATCCCCCATCCACTCCCCAGGGAAGGTGAGCCCTTCCATGAGGAATCATCTAAGTTTGTCAAGTCATTTGGCCTAGGTTCTTCCCCCTGTATCTAAGATTTGTGTATCCCTCAATAGGGAATGGGCTCCTGAAGTCCATTCTTACACTAGGGATAAATACAGGTTCCACTGCCAGAGGCTTTATAGACTGCCTAGGCCTCCTAGCTGACACTCAAGTGCAGGTGGACTGGTCTGGTCCTATGCTGGTTCCCCAACTGTTAGACTGGTGTCCATGAGCTCCCACTTGCTCAGTTCAGCTCTTTCTGTGGGTTTCTCCAGCCTGGTCTTGAACTCTTTGCTCATCACTCCTCCCTCTCTAAAACTGGATTCCAGGAGTTCAGCCCAGTTCTTAGCTGTGGGTCTCTGCTTCTGTTTCCATCAGCTACTGGATGAAGGCTCTAGGATAACATTTAAGGTAGTCATAATTCTCTTTATAGGGGAAGGGTATTTAAGGTAGCCTCTTCACTATTGCTTAGATTCTTAGTTGGGGTTATCCTTGTGGATCTCTGGACATTTCCCTAGTGCCAGATTTCTCTTTAAACCTATAATGGCTCCTTCTATTAGGGTATCTCTTTTCTTACTCTATTCATCCCCTGACTCAATCTTTCTGATCCCTCTTCTTCTCCTCCCCCCTTCTCTTCTCCCCTCCTCTTTCTCCTACCTTTATCCCCCCACCCACTTCTGTGCTCCCAATTTAGGAAGTATAACCTCATATAAAAGCAACACTCAAAGTACATGTTTCAACATTCAATGTCACAGATCACAGATTCCAAAAGGAACTAAAGAGATTATAGTGTGGAAAAACTAGACCAAAGCAAGACCAAAACCCAGCAGGGCAAACTCTAAACTCTGTATCCCCATGTCTGATATCACAAGGCTTTTCAGATCTCCCCAACTCCCTTCAGCTTTGCTGACGGCAACACTCATCTTTCTTGTGGGCTGGTTCCAGTCCCTGTTAGCTGGTCTCCTTGGCAGGAGTCCCATAGCTCTTCATCTCCAACATCTTGGTGTCTCCAATGAAATCCAGGCGTTAACCTCACATCTTTACACAGTGCCTCTCTAGACCTCCATGCAGGCACAACCCCGGCATATGCCTGGCCTCAGCAGCTTTCTCCTCATGTTTCCTCCATGTCTCTGATGCCACAGCCATATGACCAAAGCTGCCAAGTTCTGCAACCTGCTTAGCATGAAACCTGGACCTGGGAGCTTTCTTGAATTGTATTGGCTTGAGCTTTGACTTGTGTGGTCTTCAGGGACAGGTCAGTCTGTAGGGCTTTTCTTTCAAGGTGCAGGATTAGCTGGGTGGGGTCTTGCCTTGAGGGGACCTCTCCCTTTATATCTTTCCTCTTTATGTTTTTCAACACAAACCAAGCCTCCAACATTAAATTTCTTGTGTGCTTTTCCTCCTCAAACTGTGCATTCATATTTCTTTTTGCCTTCCTTGCCCTTTTTCATTGTAGGTAGGTCTGCATGACAGTGACCCCTAAGAACCACACAGCAGAGTCCATATTAAACTGTCCTGAAATCTCTGCCTAGTAAAATCTATAATATTACTAACAAGCTGTTAAGTTTAGCTTCATGCAGACTCCTTGGACTTGGACAGAAAGCACCCATGGTTTTGCCAAAATATAAGCAGAGCTAATGTCATTCCCTTTGGATTCTCTTGATCTGGATCTCTGTAGTTCACATTGCTCTCAGCTCTACTGTCTTCCCAGCTCCCACTAGACTTCCCTTACAGCCTTGTTTACTGCATCAGCCACGTTCCTAGTCCAATATCCCAAAGTCTTCCATTTTCCTTAAAAAACCCAGCATGGTTAGCTTTGTGGCACAAGTACCCCACTTCTGGTATTACCTTCTGTCTTAGTTACTTTTTTATTTCTCTGAAGAGTCACCATGACCAAGGCAACTTCTGGAGGGAAGTGTATTGGGGCTTACATTTTTAGACGGTGGGTCCAGGACCATCATAGTGTGGAGCAAGCAAGCATGTAGGCAAGCAAGCATCGTGCTGAATTGGTAGCTGAGAGTTTACTTTTGATGGACAAGCAAGAGGCAGAAGGCAGTGGCACAGTTGCATCTGTATTGCTTTTGGAGGTTCCAAGCCCCTCCCAATGATACACCTCCTCCAACAAGTCCGTACTTCCTAGTCCTTGCCAAACACTTGTAGCAACTTTGGACCAAGGGTTCAACTACATGTCCTTATGTGTCTGTTCTTCTAACAATCACAGCAGTGGAATCTTTTACACTGAGTCTGTCTACATAGCAAAGGGTGGGGGGAGAGCTGGCATCTTCATAACCTTGTGTCTTCTATAGATGTGAACCTGACACCGTTTTCTCCAACTCAGTCATAGTGTTGTGCTTTTCCTCATGTGGTCCTGGGTGCATATTTAGAAATTTGTCTGAATACTTAATATAGAGCTACTAGCATTTATGTTTTCAATTTATTTATTTCATATGTCCATAGAATGGGGAGACTCCTTTTTGATATGAATCTTTAAACTTCGTAGCATTGGTATGGCCACTTATCCCTTCAAGATGTTTTCTTGTTGATTCTGTCAGAGTTTCTGGCCAGACAAACTTTGTCTGCAAAAGAGAAAACTTTTTTTTCTCCTTTCCAAATCTAAATGCTTTTTTTTAAAATTATTATTACATTTTCTTATCCCTGAACTGCCTGCTGCCTTTCCCTTTTTGCCCAAGCCCTCTGATCCAGTCTGATTTTTCTGGTGGAGCCTCTCTATAGCAAACACCGCAGATGCTTGGGTTCCAAACCCTGCCAGAGTTGGCTGATTGGGCACATTAGCCCATGCAGATGGCTGGCCCTTTAGTTTGTTTCTCCCTGTAGGTATGGGTTTTCTCTGGATCCCCTCCTCAGGTTTCTGACACAAGGTCATTGGCCGCTGTCCCCAGCCAGGTTGTTCACTGTCTGTATTCTCTGCTGAGACATGCTGTGTGTCACAGATCTCTGTCATCATTACCAGATTGAGTGAGATATTTGGGGATCCTTAAAGGGGTGTTACTTTAAAAATAGGAGATTTTTTCCCCCTGTTCAAAAATGGGAAATATGATGGAGGGAGTTAGGTCTCTGTATGATTACATAGTTGATGGTTTAAAAATGAAAAAAAATTGAATGAGGACAATTCACTTAGGTGGAATTTACATAATGTCAATTATAAACATTATTGGTTTGGTAATTCTTGCTTAGCCCTAAAAAAGTTGGTTGATATGAGTGTCAAGATGCAGGCCTCAGAAAAAATTAGTAGAGGTGAGTGTTTGGCCAGCTCAAATTCAATACCCCCAACCTCTCCTTGGAACTTCCTGGTTCGACTTTGTGCATAGTGGACCAGCACTGCCACTCGGAACGTTCCAGAGCTTGCCCTCACCTCAATCTTGGGCACCCTATGCCCTCTGCTTGAGGTGAGTTTGGGCCCAGCTCAGGTTCAACACCCCTCCCCCCATCCTTCCCTTGGAACTACCTGAGTCAGCTTTGAATCTTGACCCTGATACAATCTGTGCTTGAGTGGTCCCACCCTGACAATCAGGACCATCTGGATCTTGCCCTCAGCTCAATCTTGGACCCTCTAGGCCCTCTGCTTGAGACTTCCAAGAGAGCTGGAACCATCTAGAGTTGCTGATATTGAAGTCCTGACCCACCAACAACACCTGGAGAAGAGTAGAAAGGGAGGAGACCCCACCTGCACCCACTAGAAGAATGGATGGGAAGAAGGCATTACAAGAACACATTCAACAATAGAAAGACCAATATGGCACAACCAGAATCTAGGGACAGTATATCAATAAGACCTGAACATACCAAAGCAGATGAAGCAGAAAAGAATGGCATTAAAAACAACTTCATGAAAATGATAGAGGCCCTCAAAGAGGATATGAGAATATCCCTTAAGGAAATGGAAGAAAAAACAAAACAAGAAAAAAAAAATAAAATAAATAAAATAAAAACTAGAAGAGATAGAGGAAAAGACAAACCAAAAAAAAAAAAAAAAAAAAAAAAAAAAAGCAAGAAATCAACAAATCTCTTAAAGAAAGCAAGGAAAACCATGGAAATATAATTAAACACATGAAGGAAACAATTTAAACAGTTAAAGCTGTGAAAACACAAACTGTGAAAACACAAACTGAAGGAATATAGAAAAGCTGGTTATAGAAACCAGGATATAGAAAAGCTGGTTAAATGATCGGGAACTGTAGATGCAAGCATAACCAACAATACAAGAGATGGAAGAGAGAATCTCAGGTGCTGAAGATAAACTAGAGGAAATAGATTCATCGAGCAAAGAAAATCTTAAATCCAACAAATCCTTAACACAAAACACCCAGGAAATCTGGGACACCGTGAAAAGACAATAGCTAACAAATATAGGTATAGAAGAAGGCGAAGAAGCCCAGTTCAAAGCTGCAGAAAACATATTCCACAAAATCATAAAAGAAGAGAACCTAAGGGGAAGAATTTTTTGAAGAATTAAGGGCCATGAATAAATGATAAAGTATGGACTGATTTGTTTTCACCCCCAGACCTTTGTCATCAGCCTGGCCTGTGTGCCTCCTGCTGCATCCTCCTTATTTACTGATCTATGACTGTGCATTTACCCCAGGGCTTACACACACATGGGGCCTGCACTAGCCCTTCCCCAGCCCTATTCAGTACAGCTCAGCTCCACTGCTCCTCTGCTGTAGCTGCCAACACAAAGCCCTGGCTACAGACCAGCTGCACAGCAGGCACTGTCTGAAGCCACAGGGGGAAAGGGAGATGGAGGAGTCACAGGGTGGCCTCTTCCAGGGCCCAAGAAAGCCGCAGTTCTAGTCGGCTCCTTCTGCTCCTCCATCATCAGCCAATCTGGTGCTCCCTGGTCAACTTTCTCTACTCTTTCCTTCTGTGAGTGTCCCCTTTAAACCCCCCTTTTGGTTTCTCTGTGTATCCCTGGCTGTCCTAGAACTCACTCTGTAGATCAGACTGGCCTCAAACTCACAGAGATCTACCTGCCTCTGCCTCTGCCTCTGCCTCCCAAGTACTGGGATTAAAGGTATGAGCCACCACCACCTGGATAAACTTCCCTTTTGTAAGGACATTTTTCTCAAGGAATAAGACCCAGCCCAAAGACCTCATTGCATTCATCATCTCGTAAAACCCACTCTCCAAAGGAAGGTCCCAATTCGAGAGCCAGGACCACAGCATGTCCTCCTCTTTTGCAGAGGGTACCACTATTCAACCCTGCTAATGTAATAGTCCTGTTGTAAAAAAGTAAAGATGACTCTAATACCCTAAAACTGGAAACTGGGGATGAGAGATGGTTCTATGGCTAAAGAGTCTGCTTACAAAATATGAAGACCTCCCTTTGGATCTCAGGAACCAATCTAAAACTAAGTTAAGATAGATGAGTGACTGTTGTGTTAAGATACTGGAGTAAATTGAGGGCCATGTTGGTTCCAGGGCTTGGGGCTGGTGCCTTGGGACCTCTGGAACCAGGCCAATCTGGATGGCCTTCAACACCACCCAGAGCCATGGTAACATCTAGACCTGGGCTGCTGCCATGTCTGGGTCCATGGTCCTGCCACAGCTGGGATCTGTGTTGACATCAGTGGCCTCTGTCACCTCAGGGGGCCATAGGAACCATGAATGATGAAGTGCCATCTGAGACACTCTGCCCTTTGATGGCCTTGCCTCTCACTGGGCACTACAGCAGGAGAGCTGCCCCAGACCCTCAAGGAACAGTTGTCTTTGCATTTGGGAGAGATGGCTCCACCCCTCACCATAGGTGAGGAAGGCCCTGATGACATGGGTGCAGGTAGCTGACTGGCTCCTCACCTGAGGCAGGTGGCCCCAGTGGCCTGGAATGACCAGCTGATCTACCAACCAGGCCCAGAGTCAGGCCTTGAGTTGGCCCACCCTGAAAACTGCCTCATCTAGAACCTGCTGGAGCCCATGAAGGGACTGGTCCTGTGGAACGATACTGGCGGGATGTCCTTTACTCAGTGTGGCCATGGGGTATCCCAGGGGACTTTCAGTGAGGATCCATGAGGATGGTGTAGCAGAAACCAGAGGTCCCGAACCAGACCAGTTTCTCTTGTGACGAACATTTCCTGGTAAAGCTGACTAGAGAATAGGGTATAGATGTGACACCCTGCTCCCAGTGCCAGCAGGAGGAAAGAAGAGGTCAGAGAGGCAGGAAATGCAGAGAAGCCAAGAGGCTTCGGGGGAGGATGGTTTGGTTCTTGTTTATGTTTGTTCATTTGCTTGCTTTGTTTTGCTTTGGTTTGATGTTGTAAATTTTCACTTGGGGAAGTGCTGCAAGGACGAGCAAGGATGTGGAGTAATGGACCGGAAGTGAGCAGAATTAAGGTGCCTGATATAAAATACTAAAGAAACAAAAAAGATCCTTGGGTAAATCCAGTGTCTTCCCATGACACCTAGTGGGTGACTGATGATAGCTTAAAAGGTACATGGGAGAGTGTAGCTGAATCAGTGTGGCTTCAGTTCAAGAAGCAGACAAAGCCATCAGTCACAGATGAGTACTGACAGTAACGATAAAGTGGGACCAGTGGGTTCCTGCAGATGCAAGCTAAAGACAAATAAGTGAATATACAGAGAAAGAAGGACGAGTGCTTTCTTACAAACCAACTCAATTAATAAAAGGAGACCCAGGGTAGGGAGAGGAAGTTCCCATCAGGCACCTGGGGCAGTGCTGACTCCTGAGTGGAGATTGGCATCTACAGGGAACCCTGCAAGAAACAGGGTACTGTGTTTCAGAACAAATATCTCTCTGATGATGATACCATGGAGTGTGAAACTCTGCAGGTGCCATGGGCCCTTAGACAGGACCAAGAAACACAGAGGTCTATGGAATATTAAGGCTAGTGGGCATGGTGGTGTTTAATGTTCTGGCTGTACCACAAAATAATTGAAGATAACATCAGTGGAGCCATTCGAGGATGTCCTATGGGAGGAACTGACCACTCTACTTGGAATGTGCACTGAGGCCAGTGTTGGGGAGGATGGTAAGGAAGGACAGAGGACCTAGCTCAGACTAGAGCAGACTAAGGAGCTGGGATGTCACAAGGTCACTGTTTGGGATATGTCTATGTACGAAGCTGCACATTGAAGTCAGAGAACAGCTTCAGTTGTCATTCTTTAGGTGCCATCTATTTGTATTTTCAGACAGAACCCCTCTTCGGTCTGGATCTTGTCAAGTAGACTAGGCTGGCTGAACTATCTCCCCAGCCCCTGATCTAGCATTATTTCCAAATAAGACAATGGAGTAATGTAAGGTGGTGTGGATCAGTGGTCTAGGAATCCATTGTGTACTCATGAGACCTTGGTCCCCATGTACACATGAGCTTTGGGGTCCAGCACCCTACAGGTACATATAGGGACAAAACAATGGCTCCTAGGTTGATGGGTCCCCCACCTCCACACTGCCCCGAAGCTTCAGGGCTAAACTCCAAGAACTTGCTATCCATTTGCCACCACTCATCTGTGATCTGGTTGTTTCTCCTCAGGGAAACCACAGCAGCCTTACGAACACTGAGGAAGGAGTTTATTTGTTCTGTAAAATACAAGGAGACTGGGGCTGCAGGTAACTAGAGCTGCCTCATGCTGGCCAAAAGCTGCCCTTGGCTTAAGCAGAAACTTAAAGAAACAACTTTGGGCAAGCTGGCCAAGCTGTGTTGGATGGAACTTAGGAAATGACACCCTAAATTTTGCCACATTGGAGTTCCCTCTAAGGGTACTTGGGGAAGAATCAATGCAGGAACTCTCTGTCTGCCTAACGAAACCCCACCAAGAAACTCCATCATTATAGATGCCCTGCCTTGGGAACCCCAGCAAGCAGAGAGGACTAACTTGGATCCAGGATAGGAGTCCAGAGCTGACCCCACCCAGTCACCAGGCAGCTGACCCCACCTAGATGGTCACATGGAATAGGGACCCACTCATCTTTCTCCAAGTTTATATTCATCTACTCCCTAGTGCCTCTACCACACCCCAGTGAGGCTATGGAAGCTTCCAGATCCATCTAGGATTAGGGAAATTTGCTTTGCTTTCATATTAACTTTGTATGTAAACTCTCCCTCCATTAAACCATCTACCATTGACTTACAGACACCAATGTTGGAATTGTCATATCCAGGGCATGACTCTTCTGTCCTCTGTAGTTTCATGTGTGAAATATGTGGTCTCATGATGTTCATAAGTTCCTGGTTGGACTAGCATACCATTTTCCTCTTTCCCAAACAGCGAACAAACTAAACCATAAGAAAAATAGAAGCTGGGCATGGCCCCCCACACCTGCATGAGAACTCATGAAGTGGAGGCAGGACAATCAGAAGTTCAAAGTCATCCTTGGCTACAGAGAGACTGAGGAGAGCCTGGGCTACTTGAGACCCAGTTTGTGTAGTTTTGGAACAGAATTCTGGGCCTAGGGGCACCTCTGACAACCACTCTACAATCTGAGCTACACCCGCAGGTCACCACTTTCTGAGATTTCTTTCCCTTCCTCTCCTCCCTAGCTCCATCCCGTCCACCCAAGCAGATCTGAGGATGCTGGAGGAATAGGAAGTTATTTCCTGGATAGCCTGTTACTTCCAAAGTGTATACAGGGGTGTGATGCCATGAAATTCTTCCAAAACATCTGGGAAATGCTTTTCCTTCCCTTGCATAGGCAGAGTGAGAACAGGGAACTCCTCACTATGGGTAAAGGCTGGAACTCACTGGGAAGCATCTGCCATCTTTGCATAAGGACCATTTAAGCCATAGGCAACTATGAAAACATAGGTACAGGAGAATGCTTTGTCTTTATCCTGTTTCCCAAGGCAGGACTTAGATGGGTAAAGATACACAAGTTCCACCCCCCCACACTCCCATACAATGAGTAAATAAGTAGAGAAGTATTTTCATTGCCTTTTTCCTCTGAGTTGGAATCACAGAACTTGTAATACTCGCATGGGGAGGCTCCAGAGCCCTATGTGACCCCCAGCCAGTCCCCTCCCCTTCCACTCTCCCATCCACCTACCTCCCACAACCTGTGGCTGTATCTTGAAGCTTGGCTCTTTTCCACTGTTGCTGCATGCTCTATAATGTACTGGTTTGGGTTAAGATGAGAAACAAGCATCAGTTCTAAACTGTTTGAGAGATTCTCTTGCTGGATGCCTCCCCTCCTGTATGTGCAACACATTCGCTAATTGGCTCTTATTTCCTCTTGTTATCTGCTTTACTGTCTGCTTTTTTTTTTCAGGATCATAACCAATGAGCCTAAGACAAAGACGGGCAAATATTTCTTTCCTTGATGAACTAACCCGTTGAAGCCGCCCTTGGAAGTCTACAAAAGTAGGCTGGAAGGACAGTTCCGTGGTTAAGAGCAGTGGCCGCTCCTCCAGTGAACCTGGTTCGGTTTCGGTACCTTGTGATGTAGGTGCTCACCACTGCCTGAGTAAGGAGGTTTGATGCCTTTGTCCAGGGGCATCTGTGGTCATACATTCACTCACAACCACACACTCATACACACACTTAACAATAGTAAAAATCTGCCAAAGTGCGAATTTAGAGTTTTAGAGGATACAACCTTTAATCCCAGCACCCAGGAGATTGAGACAGGAGGCTCAAGAATTCAGATCTAGGCTGATCTATATAAAGACACCCTCTGTGCCCTCCACAGGGAGATTAAGAAGCCTATGGCATTTCTTAGTAATGTAAGTGTCTGGTCCATGCCAGAGTCCTGCCACACATGTGCCTTGCTCTTGATGCATTTGGTCATGTGGCATTGCTCACAGATGTCTGAGCTCCATTTAACATTTTATTTCTACTCTGGTAAGATACCAGGTCCCTCCTTACCTCACCATAATCCAGTCTCCATTTCCAGCTTACAGAGGCTGCAGGAAGAAACCGAAGGAGGACAAGGTACTGATTTCCCTTCTGCACAGGTGAGCCATCTCCATTCCCTCTGGTCCTCACTCCTTGCCAGGTCTGTGATCACCCAGACCAGGGCATAAGGTTACCAAGGGGATAGAGGCCCTCGGGGTGAGTGGGGCATGGGTACAGTGCTGGAGTTGAAGACAAAATGGCCTTGTAAAAAGAAGAGTGTAGGACATTGGTTGTGATGGTCTGTGAGGGTTCTTCCCTACTCAGACTGCCCAGCCTCCTGGCCCCATGTTTCCTGGCTGCAATGATATCTCCTGTCTCCCACAGCATACTACAGAGGCTTGTCAATACCATCAGCTTTTGCAGGCTCTTAAGACAAGATGCTTCAGGTGAAGAGTCCAACCCAGAAGCTGCCAAAGCCCACCTGCCACCTGGGCAGCCCACAGAGGAGTCTGTGGCCACCAAGCCCCTAGTAGCTTCCTCAGCTCCACTCCAGGAACACCTGATGCCCCAAAATTCTAAAATCTTGTCACCTGTCCTGCTGGATTCCTCAGTTTGTACTGAGTCACAGTTGTCCATGAGTGACTCTCAAGCACCAGAGACCTTGACTCCTGGGAGACACCATTCACCCCCACCCCCACCAGGGGTACCTTCCCTCCCATCTCATCCTCCTGACCCTGTGGCCTGTCCTCCATGCACTCCAGATGCCAGGTTTGCCTTCTCCCATTCCAACATACCTAGGCCATGACCAGTCACACAGGTCTAACTCAACCTTTCCAGGCTCTAGTGACTCTTGCAGGCCTACCTCAACCACTCCAGTGTGTGGTGTGATCCCAATTAGTCTCTAATAAAAACACAGAGTCAGCTATTAGAGTGAAAGCTGAAAGATCAGAGAAGCAGATGAGCTAGCCATTGACCTCTAGGAATCTCAGACTGAAATTGAGTTCTTGTCTACCTCTCCCCAACCATATCAGTTCCAGTATCCTGTATGTATACACCTATGGACCTCTATGGGTAACTCTAGGCTTGTTCTACCCTCTGATCTTCAGGCAAGCTTTATTATTCAAAATACAAATAAAACATCACATTCCTCCCCTCTTTTTGTCTAAATAAAAAGAGGTAATACCTAACATAGAAAAACCATACAAAACAAGTTCAACAATTATATGCAAATTTTTACAGGCAACAATTAAATTGACAATGTCTAGTTCATTAGCAATTGAAAAATTTAGAGAAAATACTCCATTATTTATCCTATTGTGGTGAATCCAAAGTGTTGTAGCTAATTCATTTCTATCATTGCTTATATTACAAACCCAAAGCTATCTTTTTATGCCCCTCAACCTTATACATTTTACATTTCTTTTGTGAGTTTCTTTTCTGAATTTCTTCAGAAGAAAAAGTATCACTATCTATTATCTAGTCTTCAATTTCCTAAGTCCTGAGAAGGAAATAATATACCCTAAGAAAGCAGTAAATACAACTCCTCCCCCACCCCCCAAAAAAGACGGAAACATCTGGCTGCCTGCACAGTCACCCAACATTCTTCTGTAACACTTGTAACACTGCACTGCAGCATCTTTGGCCTACAGGCCTAGAATATTGCACAGACTTTTCTATAAAGCAGGATTTTTGATGTCCAGCCCATCTTGTCTTGGCAAGGTTCAGCAGTCACTTCTTTTTGTCCTGCTTGCCCCATTTGAGCAGCATACATTCAACATCGAGGCAAGGGTACTTTCTTGCCCAGTGGATAACTTTTGCCTTAAGGAAAATAAACTCCATGTGGACTATCTTCTAAGCCCATCATCTTATCTGAAGTAGACTGGTGCTGCCAGGAGCAGACATATCTCATTGTCATAAAAAGAACCAAGTTTTTAAAACATCTTAAATGTCATATTCTGTAGATCTCTGAAATGTTTGAAGAACACCTGTCTTTCTAAATTATATCTGTTTGATCTTGAAAACTTACCCAACATGACTACAAGTTTAATTGTAATAGTTCACTATTAACCTGAGTTTCTTTATTACCCTAAATAAGTTGTAATAATAACTTACAAGAAATTTGTATTAGATTGTTAAATAAGCTAGGTACAACATCTTGGAACAAAAGTTGAAGTGTGTATACAGTATGTTATAACAAAAATAACCTCAAAATTGTATCAATATACAAAAATCCATATCAATTAAGATATTTAACACTGTATAACATATATACAATATAACAAAAATAGCCCAATTCTGTATCAATACACAAAAATCCAGCCAATATAAAATAGTTAATACTAGTAGTTAATTTTTTGGTTTAAAAGTAGATCCAACAATCTACCCTTTTATCCTATTTATATATCCCCATTTTATTTTTAGAACAAAATCCTTGACTCTAGTCTTTGCTCAGCTTTTTTCCTGACCATTACCAACATGTAACCCATGACATATATCTATAACACACTGAACACCAAAGCCATCCACCCCACCTCTTGGGGATGAGGGTGTTGTGTTCTTAAAATTACTTCCTGCTGTCTGGGGATGATGGCATCTTTAGGGAACCCTGAAAAAGTTAGGGTTGATTATCAAGTCCTGGAGAACAGCTGTATCGTTTGTCTATCTCTGTGTAATGGAAAAGTGCAGGGCTCATTTCAGTTCTGACTAGAGTAGTCTGTGAGGCTGAACCATCTCAGGTAGCCATCTAGAAACTGTCCTGAGGAATTCTTAGTCCAAAGGTGATCTTTGGGTGTAGTGAGTCAGCTTAGTTGCATAATCACAGTCATGATGTAATCATGATTGTGGGGTATCATCCTCCTTTCGGGGCTCAGAGCTCACTGTTAGGCATGGTCATGGTTCACCTCAGAAAACTTAAAACATTTCAGATGTCACATGCAGCAGATCTCAAAGAGTTTAAAGGATCACTACTTGTTATGTACATCTGGAGTCAAAAACGTTAAATCCTAATTACCTGTTAGAGACTCAATTTTTTCTCTTCTGAGAGTGATTGCTGAAAGATCAGAGAAGCAGATGAGCCAGCCATTAGAGAATCTCAGACAAAAAAAGGGCCGAGCTAATGTCTACATCCTGCCTTATCACTTCCCCTCTCTGCCCAGTTATATCAATCCCTTCTCCTGAATGTACAGAACTCCAGACCCCTATGGTTAAGTAATGGCTAGCTCCAACCTCTAATCTTCTGGCAAGTGGTATTTGTCAGAACACAAACAAAATACCAAATCACCAGGCCTTAACCATTCTAAGAGGCCTACCTCAACCACCCTAGGACTTGAACTCTCCAGCAGCCTTACTTCAACCAACCTAGGCAATAGTCACTCAAGAGGCCTACCTCAACCACCCAGGCCTTGACCATACAGGCAGCCTTACCTCAACCAATCCAGGCCTTAATCATGCAAGTAGGCCTACCTTAAACACTCTGGGCCTTAACCATTTAGGAAGCCTCCCTCAACTTCCCCAGATCTTTACCACCCAAGCAGGCCCACATCAATCACCACAGGTTAGACCACTCAGGCAGCCTTCCCTTAACCAATCCAGGCCTTAATTACTCAAGCAGTCCTATCTCGGGACTTGAACACTCAAACAGGCCTATCTCAGGCCCTTTCTGGTACGAGGTAGTTGCCCAAACCTGGTGCCACCTGTGAATCCTTACAATAGCATCTTTCTCTTAGCCTCCAAGAGGCCTGTATCTGGACAGGCCCCACATCCAGGCAGATAGAGGCTGGGAAGCCCTCTTTCATCAACACCGATATCCAGAAATGCTGGAATTTCAGCTCAGCAAAAGGGTTGAACTAAAAATTTGGAAAGGGAAACGAAAAGAAAGACCTGATCATGCCTTGGGCCACATGGGCAATATGCTGCTGTCCCGTAGCAGCAGGTAGATCATCAACACCTCACAGTTCTTCTGGAACACAAACTGCAAATCATGGCAGTTTTCAGGACATCAGCAATTCTTCCACAAGAAGGTCTCAAGTGACCATTTACAGATGAAATGCAGCCATCTCCTCTGTGTCTTCCCCTTTCTCCACAGTGAGTCCTTTGTGCCTACTGTCAACATGGCAGGGTCCAAGCTAGATCCCCATCCATCTATTTCAATGGACTCTCTACTTACATCCCAGTACAAGTTCAGACTCACATATCTGCACAGCTCTTTCCTACAAAGCTCTTGCTTCATCACTTGGTCAAATCCCAACCATTGACTGAGAAGTCGTCCTTGACCAGAGCTCCACCAGAAGCTGCAATCCAAACCAGGCCCATGCCCATCCTCTCTCCAGAAACTACCACACCTTTTACCTCCAACTAGGGATTATGGGGCTTCTTGTCCTAAAAATTCTTGATCCAAATTTATTGTCCCACTTTTTTTTGGAGACCTAGATTGCCACCTTTTGAAAAAGTAAGACTGATTTATCAACCAAGGATAAAAAGTGGCATACAATGTTTAATCAACTCACTTCCAAGAGTTGGGCACCTCACAGCCATCAGTCTGTTGTCCACCACACAAGGGAACTCAGTAACACCCAGCTCTGAAAGCAGATGGAAGAACACTTTAAAAAGAGATTCACAGGCCAAACGGGCCTGTAAGGTCCCACTATCACTGGACCTATGAGGTCTCAAAATTAACT